TTTTTAAATAATAAAAATAAGGGCCTAAATTAGTTATTTTAAATTTTTCGGTTAATATTATTTTAATTTTAATAATTTCTTTTTTATTAAGGCCGATTAATAATAAATCGTTAATATAAACGGCTATAAAAATAAATCTTTTAATAAAAACGCCTATATTTATTTATAATAGTTCGAAATTTAAGGTTTTAAAAAAATCTATTAAAATCTTATATTAAACCTTAAATATTTATTTTAAACTATATAAAGCCTTATTTAATTTATAAATTTTATTAATATTATTATTAAATTTAATAAATTATTTAACGTAAATCTTTTTAAAAACCCGGCTATAAAAAAAATAATAATAATATTTATTTATTTAATTTTAAAATTAAAGACGGCAATAATAATAAATATAACCTTATAATTTATAGGTTTAATTATTAAAATAAAAATATCGGTATAATTTAAATCCTCGATTTATTCGAAGCTTCGTACTACTTATTTAGCTTTATAGCGAATAATTTTACTATTAGGCTTTCTTTTAATTTTATAAACTTATTTACCATTTAATAGTTTTCGGCTAATTAGTAATTTATATAGCGTTTATATTTAATTATTAATTAAAAATTAATATTTAATATTTATAATTTTATATTATTACCGCTATTAAAAATCCCTTTTAATTTATTTATAGGATTTTAATTCGATTTTAACTACTATAAATATAAAATTTAATAAAGTAATAGCTAATTTAAATTATAAACTTAATTTTAATTAATAGTTATTATATAGTTTAATATTCTATTTTAAACGTAAATAGTACCTTAAAAAAACTTTAAATAATAGATTTTTTTTATAAAATAATTTTAATTAAATAATTAGTTCTTTAAATATAAAAGGTTATTATTTAAGGGGTTATTAGTATCTTTAATTAAAATCCCCTCTAAATATATTTAAAAAAGTTAATTTATTTTAATTACTTTTATTTATATTTTTAAAAAAATTATTTTTTAATAGTTAATTATTTACCTATTAACAAATAGGCCTATTATTTTTATTTAGTTTATTTTATATTGGCAATAATTCGAAACCTAGTCGCTATTTCTTATAAGTTTCCCCCCTATAGGGTATTTATAAGGTAGGTTTATAGGGTAAAACGCCAGCGAACCGCCGCCTAAAAGTACCTGGTTATTTATTAAATAGTAACTATAATTTTAGGCATTTTATAAGCCTTATAACTAGCTTTTTAAAATTTAAGGTAATATAATAAAGGTATTTTTTTTAAAAAATAATATTATTAACGTTAACTACTCTTTTATTATTAAATCTAAAAATAATATAGTTATATTTACTATTACCTTTATAGCTTAAAAATTTATATTTTATAATAATAAGTTTTAATATATTTATTTTATTATTAAATTTATAATAGCTATTAGTTTTTATTATTATTTAATATTAAATATCCGGTTTTATACTATATTAAACCTTATAAAGGGTTATTTTTTTATTTTTAATAAAAAACCGGTTTTTAATATAAATAATAGTTTATAGAATAATAAACTAATAAAAATTTAAAACTCCATTTATCCTAACCTTATTTATAAAAGCTTTAAACTTTTTTTTAAAAAAGCTAATAATTTATTCGATAAAACTATTTTATTAGTATTAATTAATAGTAATATAACAGATAACAATATTTTTTTACCGGTAAAATTTAATAAATTTAAAACTAAAGTATAAATTTAATTTATCGATAATAACTATATAATATTTAATTTTAAGGTATTTATATTTTAAAAAAAATTCCTTAAATATAATAAACTAATTATTTAATATTTTTAAAAGCTTTACCTAAATTATATTTAAATAATTATAGGTAATAACTAACTAATTAAAATAACTTCCGTATCCTATAATATTATTAAATATACCGGCCTTATTTAAATAAAATAATTCCAAATTATAGGTTCTTTTTTTAACCTTATTAATATACCGCTTTTTTTTAAGCCGTTTTTTATAACAAATATTATAGAAATATTAATTTTAATTTAATAGTTTTATTTTAATTATTATATTTATAAATTTTTCGAGGTTTTTTTAATTAAAATACCTAAATTACTTATACTAAACTTTTAAATTAAAGGTAATAAAAATATAAAAATATAAGGCTATTATTAAACTATATATATTAATAAAATTATTAAATTGGTTTATTATATATAAATTATTAACTTTAATAGCTATTAAAAAAATCCTTTTCCCTATTACTTTAAAAGCTATATTATATCGGAAAAAAAATTTAGCTCCCTTTTTAATAAACTATAAAATAAAAATAAGGTTATACTTTATATTTAATATATATAAGGCATTATTTATTTTAACTTTTTTAGGCTTACTTTCGATTAATATAATAAAAATAATAATATTTTAATATTAAGAAATTAGTAATTTCCCCTTTATTTTAATAATTTTAAAGCTAAAATATAGCTATATAAATTTAAAAAACTTTTATTATAAAAGCAATATTAACTATATTTATTATTAAAAATAATAACCTTTTTTAACTTTTTAATAAATTCTATTACTTTTCTATTTAAGTATAATTATTAGCCTTATTTTTATTAATTTTCAACTAATAGATAAGTTTTTAAATATATATTTAAGCATTAATTAAATAATAAAAATAACTAATTATATATTAAATACTATAATTTTAATATTATTTACTATTAAGCGTATAGTTATAAATATATTATCCGATAATAATATATTAAAAAACTTAGAAAATATATTAATAAATAAAAATTTATCCGGCTTTTCGGTATTATTATTTTTAAAAATTAAAAAGGTTATAGTTTTAATCAATATAATATTGTTATATTTTATAAATATAAATTTTACCTATATTAACTCTTAATCTATTTTTTATTTTTTCGATAGGGTTTTATTACTATTTTATTAATTAATTAAAACTAATTTAGGGTATTTTTAAAAATACTTTTTTAATAGGTAATTAATAGCTTTATATTTTTAACTTTTATAGTAAATATAGTTAAAGCTAATTTTATATTTACTATTAGTATTATTATTTTTTTAATTATTAGAATCGTTTTTATTTTTAAAGTATAAAAGGGCCTATTTAACTTTAATAATTTTAAGCTTTTGGTTTTATTTTTTTTATAAAGTAAAATTAAATACTATTTTAAAAATAACTGCCTTTTTAGTAATTTTACTTTTATTATTACGTTCGGGAATAATGCTATAAGTTTAAAAAAAAGTAATAAAAAAGGTATTATATTTAGGGCCGAATATAAAAAGAAATTTATAAATAAAATATAATTTATTAACGGTATAAATTTTATTAAATTTTTTAAAGTCGAACTTTAAAAATTAAAGTTAAAACTTTAATTTCGATACGGTACCTTTAATAATTAAAAAAATAATATTTTATTTAAATATTAGGTTTTAAAATATAGCGTTTTCTTTTAATTTATATTCTTTTATTAATATTTTTTAAATCCCTTTAACGGTTTTTAAATATTTAATTTAAACTTATAAATTTTTATTAAATTTATATTTAATATATTTATAAATTTTATTTTATTTATTTTTTTAAGCCTTAATTTTTTTCTATAATTCGGCTTTATTAGGGTAATTTTTAAAGGTCGGTTAATTTTCGTTTCGATTTTTTAAAAAAAGCCTCCTATAGTTATTTATTTTTAAATAGTCGTTAACCTTTTTTTTAAACGCGAACTATTATTTTAAATCTTTTAATTTAATTAGGCTATCGAAAGTATTAATATTAAATTTTCCGGTTTTTTCGTTTATAGTAAAATCGTTAAAAAGTTAACGGTTAAATAAAATATATAAGGATAAAATTTTTAAATATTTAAGCTTTTATAATAAGTTTATAAAGTAATTTATTATAAGATAATTTATTATAAAGTAACCTAATTATTAATTTAATAATTTTAATAGGCATTTTAATGGTTATTTTAAGGTACTTTTTAAGCTTTTATTAGCCTAATATAAATAGTTTAAATAACCGTTCCGAAAAAAAAGGTTTTAATCCGAAAAGGTCGGTAGTATTAAGGTTTAAAAATAAAGAAATATATAATATTTCGCTTAAATTAGGTAATAAAAGGTTTAATAATAAAGGAAATAATAAATAGTTTAAATTTTTAAATTTTTTTATAAAATCTTTTAAAAATAATTATAAAAATTCGTACGCTAAATATAGGAAATTTCTTTTATTAAAAAATCTGAAATATTTTAATTACGTTAAGGGTTTATTTTATAGCGAAATATTTATATTTAATATTAATTTTATTATTATTTATTATTTAAATATTAATAAAACCGTTATTTAAGTAAATACGCTTTAATAATTAGGGATTTATTAGTTTTAGTAATTCCGAAAAGCTTTAATATTTAAATAGTTTTTAAAAACGATAATTATTATTTTATAAATATTAATAGTATAAATTTTAAAGCTATTTAGGGTTTAATATAGGTAATAAATACGCTATATAATTATAGTATATTTTAATATAATTTAATATTAAGCTAAAAAACTTAAAACTTAATTTTTTATTTTATATAAATTATATTACTTATTTTATACTGTTTTAGCTATATTATATAAATTATATTATCTTATATAGAATTTTCGATTCCGTTTTATTAATTTTATTTTATTTATTTATATTATATATACAGAAAGTATAACGTTTAAACTATATCTTTTTAATAATAAATAATAAATAAATAAATAACGAATAGATAATTATAATAATAATAATAATAATAATAAGCTCCGGGCTTATAACTTATTAAAATAGATATATAGGTTATAAATATATACATCAGTTATATTAATAATAGTAGTAATAAAAAAAGTATTACAGGTAGGAGGGGATATCCTCCTATATAGCTACTGGTATGGGTCGTCCAGCCACCCGTATATTCACATACCAGCCACCAGATATTCCAATAGTAGCATAGGAGAAACAGGTGATATCGTCCAGAGGTTTAGGACATTGCGTTATGGTTACCATTATTACTATTCCGCAAAGACGAGGGTTCGAATCCCTCTATCATCAGTACTTTTTGCGGAAGGAGTCGCCTAGGAGCTCCCACTAGGCTTTCAGCATACTGAGGATAATAATCTTGTCAACCAGACACCTCAACATAAAACAATCTTGAAGTATTAAGGTTAATAATGCTATCGAAATTACTTACTATATGGCAAAATAAACGAAATATACTGTTGAAATTGAAAGATAAAGGAGTCGGCAGAGTTTACTGAACCGGTAATTCAACATGTTCTATTCGGCTCGAAACAGAACTGCATACAGGAAGTCGATAATACTATACATAGCTAAAATATACTCAATATTGGAAATACCGGCGAGAAACTAGTTTCCAACTTGCAGCATTGCCACTATCCATTGCCACTATCACTCCGAATAATCAAGAGTGACACTTCAGCATAGCAAATCAAGCTCTTCTTATAGACTTAAAAAATCATCTAAGAGGTTATAAGGGGCTCAAGCTCGGTGTGATACCAGAGTTTCTATATTATCAGATGAGATACAGTTTTTTTCTTGGCTTATCGTGGCTTATGGTACTCATTATTCGACGCATAGAACTCATTGTCTCGGAGCCAGGCGCCAGATTCCCAGCACCTTGATAAGCTCAGTCGTCATTGCCACTTCGCGGCAACCCCTCGGTACCTTTCCCATAGTCCTCGCCGAACCTCTTTCCGCCGATGAACAACGGCTTCGTGTCCTGCAAAACAAACACCATACGTGCCCAGCCGGTAGTGCTGGGGTTGCGCCAGGCATGCATGGTAGCTCGCTGGACGGCTATATCCCCTCGCTTCATTCGCGTAACACTGCCGTCATCGAGCAGCATGTCGAGCTCGCCCTCGACCACGACGCCGAAGTCGAGCGACTGGGTCCGATGCATCATACATTCGTACTGCGGTCCGAAATCCACCATGCGGCAGACCGTGCCGCCCTTCGTGGCAAGTCCAAGCTTGCCGCCGGCGATTATGTTGTCGTGGAACTGGACGTCCGCGTTGCCGTTTAAGTCCGGTGGAGAAGTGTTCGTGTAGATTTGATTAAAACCCACTGTGAGAGACGATATTAGTAATTTTACAGCGATACCGTGAAAGAATCGGGTAGGTTTGAATCCGCAGGTTATGTTCCCGTCTCATAGAAGGTCAGGGGCGGTAGCTGGCGCATCTGAGTTTGTGATATGTGGTCTAGTAAAGGGGTAAATCGGTTGAAGGGGTTTAACAGCTAATACGTACTAATTCCGCCCTCGAATGATGTCCATTGAGCCGGTCGTACAGAGTGTACAACTGCTGTCCCCGCATCGTCGTGCCCAGTTAAGTAGGTAGTAGTGCTGGGAAGATCGGTGGAGAGCTGCGGGGATGGCTTGGGTTGTGGTTTTTTCTCCCCATCTGACACACCAGCAGCGGCGTTCTGAGTGGACGACATAGTCGCAATCGAATATAGTATTTCTTAAAGACGTTGATTCCAGGAACTGCTTCCGCTTTGGTTAATGTAGGAGGAGTGGCCAGGTTCACGGTAAAATAGCCAGGAACGGAAATAATCTGGAGTGAATACAAACTCGCTATGTACTTCCTGCAATGGCAAAGAGATGATTTAGGTAAGTCATACAGCATAAGCTTACCCCGGGCTGGAGTTGGGGTAACTCCGCTTAGAGAGAGCTGGCCCGACCCGGACGGAGGGCGTAATCTTGACAACCGGGATGTAATACAAATGTAGATCAACTAATTACCGACGAAGCGGAAGCTGTAACTTAAAAGTCCGGTACCAGGTGAATACATACATTCATGCTCCATGCTGAATAGGTAGGACCGCCGTGAATAACTTCTACATTGACAGTAGTTAATTATTTCCCTCATAGATGGTTCCAGCTCTTATGCTCGTGTGATAGACATTTCCTCGCTGTCCGATGACTCGTGCAGCTCTCTGAATTGACTTCGTTTCCGGAATAAACCCAGACATGTTTTGATAAATCCGGGCATTTCCGATTCCGGTCCAACAAACACCGCTCCTGGGTGTACGAAGTTAAACGCCAGGATAGCTAACAGCATCGGCATAGCTTCGAGCATGTAGAAATACATTTCATCGGTCACTAGGGGGTTTGACGTGCCGGTTGAACCAGACGAGAACTCGACAAGCCTGAAAACGATACGGATCTAGGGTCTTCGTCTTAGTAATGTAACCAAACGACATTGGGCCAGCACTTACGGTGATGAATATCAAGGACGCATATAAAGTCAGCAGTAATGGAAACCAGCCGGATTTCCGCTTTGTATATGCACCTTTGTGCACATCAAGCTTGCGCCTTTCTAGGTGGAATTTAGCTGCAAATGCAACGAACACGACGATGAAGCACTGTTGTAAGCCAATCCCGCCCATATAAATATGAATAGCTCTTAACTTCTCGTCTGTCGGGGCCGTGGGGCCCGCTATACTGCCTCCCACGAGTTGGATCACGAACGCTACGAAGTCAAGGGAGACAAACCCAGCAGCTAAGGTAGACGCGGGTACGTTGTAAACCTTCCGTGACGGGAGGAAGAAGTGAATCATCCGACCAAGAACCATGTAGTCGAAAGCGTTGACCCCTGTGGTTGGAGGCACTTAGTAGCTGGCTTGCCAACGGAAGAAGCAGTACTACTTACACAGGGGCGAGAGCAGAACGAAGACCTGAGAGACGAGATAAATGCCGGTGTTCTGTTGATAACGAGTACTAATCGCACGGAAAACATAGGCCATAGTCTCCCAAGAACTCGCCATGATAATGACCCAGCAAAATTTCTGATTCATGCGATCAGTATACGTTTAAGGATTCAAACAGTAACTTAATTACCTTCTTGTAGATTATTGCCTGATATACGTGAACCCACGTTAGGACTCCGAATAAGATCATAAAGGCCAAGGCGGCTGGGAAACTCGGATAGTAGTTCCAAATGGCATGGCAAGTTCCCGGAGGTAAGTACTCATTAGGATCTGGCTGAATTGTCTGAACGCAGGTTGGTATAACTATGTCGATCGTCTTTCCCGGAATCGTGACATGATCGTTGGTGACTCCGTTGGCGGTTACATGTTGTGTTGTTAAGAAAGTAGTTGCCGGCGCAGTTGTTATTACTGCAGGTGTTTGTTCCACCACTTCTCGAAATACCTTAGTCAATCTAGCCGTAACCAATGTTGACGTTGGTGTGGCCATTGACACACTAAGTTGATGAAGACAGGTGAGGGAGTATGGAAAGCGACGTATATTAATATGAGATTAAGGCTTAAGTTGGTTCGATATTGATGAATGCCATCATTTTCAACTTGAAGCACTGAATTCAGACTCCTTTTATTAAAGGCGAACTGATAAATGTTTTCAGACTCCGCTTCCAACACAGCCCTACGGTCGAGGCTGTTAAGTCATTGTAACCCTACTATCGAAGGAATGAAGAGTCCGAACCGGCCAATCGCAACCAAGAAGTCTAGCTAGGTTCATCCTCAGCTCCGCCCCGAAAAACAAGTAGCCATGCTGTCGGGCATAGGCAGACAGCTAGTAAACTGCATAGCAATGTTGGGTGATTAATTATAGTAGCTCTAGCGCAGTCGGAACGCGATAGGACCCTCGAAACCATAGGGGCGTAGTCTAGACTATTTTCACGAGCAAAAGAAACAGTCGCAATAAGTAGCACCCAGGTTTCAGTGTAGGCTACAGCCATCTTCAGTCAATGTCTATTATAACTACTGCGTTCATGCGGTCTATTATTTCCTATATATATTATCACATCGTTTCGACAAGGAAACTCAGATTGAAGATAGATGTCGCCTTCAGGCTTCCGTCTAATAAATCCCCCGGCTCTCCCAAAAATTTCTCGGCCGTGAGCGTCTATCTGTTTCACCAGTCCAGGCTTTGTAGTAGAATCCCGTACTCTATTCTCATCAGGTGGCAGACCAGGCCAACAAACTGGAGTGGCGGGCTGGCCTGGTTCGTTGAGCAGAACACCATGCTCGATTTCGATGATGCGACGGCCTGCACAATACATCGTAGGCATATCCCATAGGTTCTCCCTGCAGACCCCGAGTTTCTTCACTAACGAAAGTGCCTGGATCCGGGTCGTGAAACAACGGCATTTAGTTGTGATGAAATAGAGAAGAGGCGTAAACCCCATTTCAAATATGAAATTTGAGGCAATCCGTGAATCATCCATTCTGGAGTCCATGGACGAAGACAGCTTAGCAGCCCTGTCGACCATCCACCGAAATTTCGGGATAAAAATGTCGTATGCGGTCTCGTCATATTCAAAAGCCGTCTCCGCCCAAATTCGAGCGATCTCATACCTCAAAACTACGTTACAAAGTGACGCATCCCGTTTCGTAGATGTAGATTATTGGAATATCTGGTGGCTGGTATGTGAATATACAGGTGGCTGGAGGACGCCCCACACCAGTGGCTATATAGGAGGATATCCCCTCCTACCTGTGATACTTAACCTCTCTAACTATCATCAATATAACTGATGTACACACTCATAACCTGCGTATCTATTTCAACATAGATCGTCCGGTTTCAAGTCCTGAGAAACTGTTACGCCAGTCATCTAGCATAGTTCTAGTACTGTCTCGTTCTGACAGCAGCTCAGGAGATACGGGGCGTTGCCTCAGGACTCCGAGGCGGTAAATATCTCCCTGTCGGACTAGCCGGACAGTTCTGGTCACAAGGCCATCCACATAGTATTGGGCTTCGTCGAGTGATTTGAACGATACAGGGATCTTGTTGTCTAAGCCGAGCAGTTTGGGAAAGCGAGTACTGCTGGTTCCGAAGAAAAAAGGGAAAACAGACAGGCGACGAAAGATAGGAGAGAGATATTCTTTTGCCCATGCACAAGAATTCTCGACATTTTCCAGAATGAAGATGCCATGCTTGCAATGTTCTATGGCTGCATCCCTATTTCCTAGCAAGAACTCGATGCAAACAAAGAGAACGCATACTAAGAGCACTAAAGGCTCGTTCTCCATGGACTTCAGCTCCCGGATTGCAGCATTGTAGTGGTGAA